TCATATCGAAGTATTTTCGACACTAAAAGTAGTTTCGAAAAGAAGCTCTTTGTGACACTCCTTTTTTACTTATCGGAGGTTGGTAACACTGACTGACTGATGGCCATCGAACTGTCATTCGCGATTTTATAATAGAAGATTTCTATATTTGGCATGTAGTGTTACCAACCTAAACATATGAAATCAGGAAATATGAGAATAAAATTTCCAAGAAAAATTTGTTTTTTTTTAAGTAAACAATACCAAAATAGAAAAAATAGAATAAAATATTCGTTTCATAAGACATTTTATCGCACTCGCCCTTTAGAAAACTCGCCTCCGGCTCGTTTTCTAACATAGGGGTGCGATAAAATGCCGTCTTATGAAACTTGTATTTTAATGTACTATTTTCTATTTTGGTGTCATATCGAAGCCTTTTCGACACTAAAAGTAGTTTCGAAAAGAAGCTCTTTGTGACACTCCTTTTTTACTTATCGGAAGTTTGTAACACTGGCTGACTGATGGCCATCGAACGATAAAAAATAATAGAAGATTTCTATATTTGGCATGTAATGTTGCCAACCTAAACATATAAAATCAGGAAATATGAGAATAAAATTTCCAAGAAAAGTTTTTTTTTTTAAATTAAACAATACCAAAATAGAAAAAATAGTATAAAATATTCGTTTCATAAGAAATTTTATCGCACTCGCCCTTTAGAAAACTCGCCTTTGGCTCGTTTTCTAATATAGGGCTCGTGCGATAAAATGACGTCTTATGAAACTTGTATTTTAATGTACTATTATGTACGATTGCAACTGGTTTTTGTTAAAAATTAAAAAAATTCAATGAAAAAATGAAAATTCGCGTAGGTATACCTGTTCCACCTTGGAAAGTTGTCAGGACCTGTTTCACCTTGGCAGGTTGTCAGGTAGTCCAGGTAGGCAATAAAGTAGCACTTTATTTCACTAGTAAAATAAAGTAGCACAGATTTTACTTTATTTTACTAGTAAAATGCTTTTAGGAGAAAGTTGCTAAGTCGGTATTGATATGACTGTGCTTTTTCTTTATTTTTATTTTTATTTCTTCATCTCTGTTTAAATTTTACTATAAATACTTATGAATAAGGTAAATAATTGTAACAATAGAGAGTTCTCGTGCCGTCCAAATTTCAAATACCGTAACGCTATTTGACACGTATGACAGTTCTTACGGTATTAGCGTTAGCGGAGCCCGCTATCTAACGGAACTTACCGGATGCCTTACCGTAACGCTATGCTATGTCAAAACTAGTTGACGCTCCATTTATGTCTGCAAAAACAGCAACTTCTAATAATTCGTCCATAAAAAACACCAATGGAAAATTATTGAAGCTCAGGAATCTTCAGAATAAATAAAAGTTAAAAAAAAAGCAAAAAAAGTGGGATTAGGTCACTCAACTCAGCTGTCAAAATGTAAACAGAATAAGGGATTAGAGGATTTATGTGTCCTCGTGCCCGAGAACTTTAAAATATCAGGTGTAATACCGTATTGTTAGCGTTACCGTATTAGCGTAGCGTCGGGCGCACGAGAACTTTCTAATGTTATTGTAATTTGAATTCGCCGAGTGAAAAATAAAGGCCATTTATTATTATTATTATTATTATTATTATTATTATTATTATTATTATTATTATTAAAATAAAGTGCTACTTTATTGACGCAAAACTCTTCTATAAATAGCACTTTATTGGTCAATCGGACATAATAGTTATTTATGTCATACCAATACATTATTGTGTTTTTATACCTTAGATACCATCTACATAATTCATTACTTTATACACGTGCGGGCATAAAGTACACATTATGGACCGCGCGGGCCTAAAGACGCAAAAAACAGTTTTCAATTAACTTATTCTTTATTAACAAATTATAAATTTACGCTTATAAACATATTATTTTTGTCAAAAAATGATGTTTCTGCACTCTGATGACAATTTGCGAAGTGATACTTTTTTCCCAGGTATTTATTATTCACAACCAACTGGTATGACATAAAAGTTTGTATGCACCACGGGTACTAATAGATATACAGGGTGTCCCACGGTGGATGGCGTATTAGACGTTTATGGAGAACTAAAAAGCGGATCATTTTGAAAATTTGGCAACCGGGATAAACGACCATGATCTACATTTAAAAAATATTTTTGACCATGCGGTGTTGCCGCTTCTACTCTAAACTAGTGGCAGCATCTCTAGTTTAAATAGAACACCCTATATCTGATTGCATATTTGGATTCTATGTAAAATTCTGAGCAGATTTCATGTGTTATACCCTACACCTAAGTTCAACTGTTTTGGAAATATTGACAGTTGAAAATTGACTTTTTGCAACTTTGACAGGCTGTAAAACCTGAACGGTTAATTCTAGAGGAAAACCGATTTTACATTTTTTACATTTACATTGATAAACTATCATTTGACACCAACTTTGAACTTAACCGGAGATTAAATTTAACTGAAATTTTTAATCGTGGATTTAATTCAAAGTTGGTGTCAAATGATAGTTTATAAAAATCTAAGATAGGAATGTAAAATCGGTTTTCCTCTTAAATTAACCGTTCAGGTTTTACAGCCTGTCAAAGTTGCAAAAAGTCAATTTTCAACTGTCAATATTTCCAAAACAGTTGAACTTAGGTATTGTTCGTCGATTTTAATCTGATACTCGGACGGAATGTGAGCTGGTGGCTTCCTACATTAGAACGCCAATGGTTACCTGACGTCACACCTGTTTTTCCCATATGAAACACCCCCTCGCTCCTCATACCGCAAGTATCAGTTAAAAATCGACGAACAATATAGGGTATATCACATGAAATCTGCTCAGAATTTTACGTAGAATCCAAATATGCAATCACATACGGGGTGTTCCATTTAAAATAGTGATGTTGCCACTAGTTTAAAGTATAGAAGCGGCAACACCGCATGGTCAAAATTATTTTTATGTCATACCAATACATTATTGTGTTTTTATACCTTGGATACCATCTACATAATTCATTACTTTATGCCCGTGCGGGCATAAAGTACACATTATGGCCCGCGCGGGCATAAAGTACACATTATGGCCCGCGCGGGCATAAAGACGCAAAAAACAGTTTTCAATTAACTTATTCTTTATTAACAAAATATAAATTTACGCTTATAAACATATTATTTTTGTCAAAAAATTATGATGTTTGCACACTGATGACAATTTGCGAAGTGACACTTTTTCCTAGGTATTTATTATTCACAACCAACTGGTATGACATAAAAGTTTGTATGCACCACGGGTACTAATAGATAATATACCCTCGGGCGTCTTACGAACCCTCGGGCCAGAGGCCCTCGGCTTTGTAAGATTGTCGCCCTCGGGGCATAATCATATAGGTACTTAGTACCCTTGATACATAAAGTATATTATTATTATTTCAAAATGTATTTTCACGCTGGCAACGTAGCAGGTCATTAGCTAGTTTTAGAATAAAGTTTATTTAATTTTTGTTTTCATTTATATTAATAGTCAATTTATTTTTTGAATAAATAATTTCGAAGTGTTTTTTTTTTAACTGTTTTCAAAACTGTTGGCTTTTAATTTACAAATATTTTTTTTCCCAGAACCTATAGATTTTTTCATTAATTATTGAGACTTGCATAAGGTATGTCTTAAAAGTGATGACCAGAATTATCAATAATTCTTCACATATTAGTTGAAAAAGTTCAATCAATTATGGTAATTGATAATAAAATAAGAGTTCATAAAAAAGGTAAAAGTTAGGTATTAATGAAACTGTATACAAGCAGGGCCGTCTTGAGGCACGGGCCCGCTGAGCCCGGGCCCAGGGCCTCAGGTGCCAAGGGGGCCTCATCGTTAAGTCCACGCCTACTTTAAAATAAATTTTATGGAAAAAAAATAGAAAAAAAATATATATATTTTGATCCCCTCAATCATAAAATATAATTATTATTATATTAACTTCAGAAAGACCAGGAAACTTCCACAGTATTACATATCAGAAGTTTTTCTTATTTATTCATGTTGTATTCCCTAGAGCAGCTCCCCCCCACCCAGTAGAGGTAAGGTGCCTCTTTTTACATGTAGGCCCAGGGCCTCAAGAGGTCTTAAGCCGTCCCTGTATACAAGCCTTAATTCCAACGAAAACGTTAGAGTAAGGTAGCCGTCCATTTTCTGTCACTTGGCGATAGAAGTTGCAGATTCTAGCCTTGAATCAAGGTAGATAGTAGAAGCTGACAGTTTTCGTCAAATGTTGAGGGACAGGTGTCGACACGTGAAGGACTTGATTTCTCTAGGAAATCCCTTCAAAAGTTCTATGCCCATGCTCCAAGAAAGTGGTGATCGTTAGAAATATGCGGGATCGTTGGAAACGGGATCGTCAAAAGAAACGAGTTCCTCGAAAGAAACGGAGTTCTAGAAAGAAACTGGTCCTCGCTCTTCGAAAGACTCTAAGTAATAGAGGCATTCCATGAACAACTATTATTACTTTTAAAAAAAATAGGAAGAATTTACCACAAGGGGTTCGGAACTCAAACTCAAATGAAACGGGAATCACAATACTTTCGATATTTAATTTTTCGGTTATTAATAGAACATTGCCTTACGCAACGTAATTTATTTCATCAAACTAGTGCCTGATGGCCGATAAGGTAATTTTGTCCATGAGAAAGGTAATCGAAATTTCACTTAGAGGGCGATGGCTGCCCTTAGCACCAGGCTCAACCTTTGTCGAAAGTCAAAATTAAAAAGGGCAGAAGAATCAGACAAGTTGAACAAGCAGAGCTTTCCCTCGAAAAATGTATATATAAGCTATATGGAGTGGCCAGTGTCACAGCTCTGGAATCTTATCAGAAGGATGGGTTTAGACAATCCACTCTGTCAGACAGGAGTTACCACAATAAATCTAACGAGGTTGCAGTGGTAGGGTAATCTACATAATCGATGATTTAAAAAAAATTATACTACATATCTAAAAACTCACCAAAAACATCCAATCCGGATCTAATTTGATCAATTAATTCCGTGTTCGAATGCCTCACTTCCCACGGCCATTCGTACTTTTGATACTTTTCAAACTCCTGTTGATCCATAGCATTTTGCCTGGAAATCTCCCCACTAATTATTCGCTCGGGAATATCATATTCGTTGTCCTTAATAATATCAATTATGGGCTCGCAAATTTCAAATATCGGTTCTCCGGTAACAAATAGATTTTTTAAATTTTCCATCGCGCGTCTGTCGGGTTCTTGTGCGTAGCGTTTTTTGTATTTTGATATTTTTATTGAAATATTCATGATGTCTTTTAAAGCTTCATTGCAAAGTTGTTTATTACTTGATTGGTTTCGGCTGGCTTTTTCGTTTCCTATTCTTTGGTTTAATTCGAGTAATCTTTCACGCTCTAAGAAGTACATTAATTTATGCTCATTTAGTTCTTTTTCTTTTAATATTAAAGCATCTATAGAGTTGTTTTCTTTAAGTTTATTCAACAGTTCGCATTGTTTGAATCGGTTTTCCTTTATGTGTTCAATTTCCAGTTTTACTTGTCCCAGTTTACTAACTATTTCTTTTTCGTATAAGGATTGTCTCATAAAGGTGTCTACTATTAGTCTATCGTCACACTTTGCTTTGCTATCACTAATTTTCTTGTCAAATTGGCTCATAATTGCTTGATGCCATTGAGTCCCTAATTGTTTCTTTTCCTGACACACTTTCCTTTTGGCACGGACATTATTTAATATTTTCTCAGCTTTTTTTGGGTTTGGTACAAATTTTTGCATGCTTCTTGCCTCTTCTTGAAGCTGGATCAATTCCTCGTACGTCTTATCACTATCAAATGCCTCAACATCTTCATTACTCATACTAGAAGTTGATGAGGATGTTTGAAATGCTTCCAAGGCACCTTTTTCATGAATTATTGCCGCAGAAGATTTGGCTTGGAATTTAGCATTGTGCAAATATTCATCTCTGGCCTCTTTGCAACGCATTTGCAGCGCTTCTAAGCGGTCTTTGTACCAACGATAAACATCACCTCTCTCTAAAAATAGTTCGCAAACTTCATCTCGTTGCAAATCAAGTTTTTCCAAGTCCTCGTTGACAACGTTTACTTCAAACCTGTGCGACCATTTGCCTAGTTGAGCATTTATTTCATGATCAGTTAAAAAATCTAATTTCGTTTTGTTTCTTAACTCTAAAAATACTCGGTAGAATAAGTCTAAAGAGGCCGAGCCGACTCCGTTGACTATTTCGTAAATGTCCTCATCGTGTGAGTCCAAGTGCAAACGCCTCATCCAGTCATTGATGAGATTGAAATTATCGTAGCAGTCACTCACGTGGTTACTTTTCTTCAGCAAATTCAATTCTTCGATTGTAATGACGTCGTAGCTGAGCAACATTTGAGCGAGCAAGCGTCCATTTTTAGTTTTCGTTCTAAAAGTTTCAGGGGTCATATCCACTACCCAGCCTAATCGGTTCAATATCCATCTTGATATAATTTCGATCATTTCTAAGAAAATATGTTATTTATTGTCAAACTATGACTTTTGTGTGTCATTTCTATAATTGACTTTCGCTTGAAGCTTGAAGGCACAGCTTGAAGGTATGTCGCACATGGAGTGAAAATGCCTTGGTTCACTGTTCAATGTATGCAAGATGTCGAACGATGGGGAGAAAACAGTTATTTCCTATTATTGTGATCGAAGATATAGGCGCAGAATCAGGAGCTAGTGGGTTTATCCATATACAGGGTGTATATTTTAAGTGATACCACTATTGCTATATTGGAAACGGTAAGAGCTACAAGGCAAAGGTCGGTTAAATTAGAAAAAAGTTGCCTTTTTTGATGCCCATTCAAGACTCGTTTACAGTATTGTCATATTCCCTATAGTTTATGAAATACAGGGTGATTTCTAAAAAACGCCGAAAAATATTTCATCAATTATTTCGAAAACTATTGATTTTCGAGACACAATTTAAATTTGAAAGTTTTATAATTTTTTTCACTCTACAACATGGCATCTTCAAATTTTTAATCCGACGTTTCGTGATCGAGCTACCATCATCAACTTCATTTTTTTAAATACGGCCCTGGATTTTTTATGTCATTTTTAGAAAGCGCCTTTTATTCCCTTTCAAATGATATAACTCTTAAGTATGATTGGCCGACGTTTCTGCTCTAAAAAGTGATCATCAGTGATTTTTACCAAAATTTCACCTTAATTCGGCCCTGGAATTCGTTAGTTGTGTTTTAACAAAGACAGTCTAACAAGTACTTTTTTCCTTTATTATTTAGAACAAAATTAACAATAGCTATTCAGGGAACAAGTGTGTGAAGTGAACCTTTTCTCACGAATGTGAATTTTGTGACAATCACATGAGTGAAAAAAGGTTCACTTCACACACATATTGCATTAAAAAAATTTCTACTGCCAATAACATATGTGTAAAAAAATAAATTCAGACAAATACTTCACGCACTAGCATGGGCGTCGTTACGAGGTTTCTCAGGGGGGGGCAGTATTATAATAAGACCATTTCCATTAGCGCCGCAGGCAACCGCCGTAGGCTAATTTTTTTTTGTGCCACGCCCCTTTTTGAACATTTTAAGGTAGGTACTTAGTTGAAATCGCGCGATATTTGGTTAAAACTGATGGTATTTTTTTCCGCAACAAATTCACTGTCCGCATCATTTGTTCAGTGACGACGCCAGGGGGGGCCAGAGGGGGCCGGGGCCAAACGTCAAATTGTCGAAGCAATGTCAAAAAAGTGCGAAATTCGCAGTTATGAGCACTAGGCATCTGTCGGTTAATTCGGTATTCGGTGAGCACAGGCCAAGAATCGTAAACTAACAGGAATTCTCATCCTCATAAGGCGTACGTTCGTCAATTCTCGAGTCGGCAGAGCCTGCGAGTGACTTCACTACTAATTAGCAGCATAACAGCTTATAATGATGACGTCACCCGAAGGGCTTGATGGGGTGCTTGCGATTGAGGTTGTGCTTGTTTTTTCATCAATTTTAAATGTAGAAAAGGTGATTATAACGATTACTGTGACTTGTGACTGTTTCAAACTCGACTAATGCATTTTACGCCAAGTGTTGAGGTGTTCGGCTGAAATGGCAGACATTTTCAACTCAAGAAGCAGTCCTCTTAGGTTGAGTGTTCTTGGGCACAGGCATCAGGCATCTGCGATGCTGCTTTCGGTTTCCTGGGATTACCTCAAGCATAATAGTGTCGACAGGTACCATCGTCACCAAAAGTAACTGGGTAACATAATGAGTAACATAGCTCTTGTCCTATTATATGAATTTTATTGTCAAATATTTGTCAAACTATAAATCAAATGCATTGAAATGAATGACAGTAGAATTAGTCCAGGAGATTATTATGCATTATTTGTGTCCCAGATACTTTTGGTGACGATGGTACATTTTTTATTCGAAAGAAGAAAAGCAGTAAAATAAAAACAAATGCCCCCCTAAATCGGTTCAGTGTTTTATAATACCGGCCCTAAGTCAAGTGAAATTCAATTCCGTTGAATTTAATGTAAATGTCAGCCAATTTTTCAAAGTACCTAACAAATTTTGAAAAAATGGAAAAAAGCAATACGAATACGAATACGAACTTTCCTTTACTGCTTTCTTGTTCAAAAGACTATTTCTAGGGGGGGGGCAAATGCCCCCCTTGCCCCCCCCCCAAACGACGCCCATGCGCACTAGTGCGAAAAGTGTTTTCACTTTAAGCAGTAGTGCGTGAAGTAATTTGCCAGAAAAAAAATTGAAAGTGTGACATTAGTGTGTAAAGTGAATTACTTTACGCACTAGTGCGTGAAGTGAAATTTTACGTATTTTGCATAGTGCGTAAAGTGAGTACTTTACGCAAGGTGGTACAAAAAATAATTTCTCTAACAACTTAAAATTATTTAATTATGAACAATGATTAAAAAAAATAATTAGTTAGAAACTAATTATTATTGTAAATACTCAAATTGACGTACATTATTACTTAAGCATAATCTGCAATTCCTTACAATTTTTTTTTGAATATTATTTAATATTCTTTCATTTATTTTAGCACATGCAGCCCTTATTCTCTCTTTCAATTCTTCGATTGTCTCTGGTGTTTTTCTGAATACGTAATCTTTGACAAGACCCCATATGGAAAAATCAATTGGAGTAAGGTCTGGGGACCTAGGAGGCCATTTTATGGGACCATTGTTTCCTATCCAGTTGTTGCTTTTAAATCTATTGAGGAAACGAACACAACGTCGTGCACGATGTGCCGGGGCGCCATCGTGTTGGTAGTACTCAAATCTACGCAGGTCATTTAATGGTAGCTCATCAAGCATTTCTTGCAGGTTTCTTCGCATAAATCTCAGATAGCTGACAGCTGTTAAATTTTCATTAAAAAAAAAAGGTCCAACGACTTTAGAAGCTAAAATTCCTATCCATACATTAACACCAAAACGTTCCTGAAATGCTGTTTCTCTATGATAATGTGTATTTTCTTGGGTCCACTTGTAGTGAATATTTCGATTAAACCAACCATTGTTGGTGAATCGGCTCTCATCGCTCCATAGAACTTTTTTGCAGATGTCAGGATCTTGCCTATTTTGCCGTAGTAACCAATGGCAAAAAATACGTCGTTTCGTTTTCGGAAATCAGTTTCTCTTAAATGGTGCGTTTTACGACAGCGATATGGCCTAAAATTACAAGAGTCTAGCGGAAGAAAGTATGGAGAGCTGGGATTTTAGTGCGCATGCCAAATGTATCGTAATGATTGCTAGTCTTTAAAGTCGGTTTTTTTTTAAAGATAAAAGTCAAAATGACATTATGTTGGCAATACAATGTAAAATTGTCAATGTTTTCAAATTTTTATGTAGAAAAGGCTTGTTGCCAACATAGTTACTAAATTTTTGACTTGGGGAATAATCTTTAAAAAAAAAACAGACTTTATGTTGATATTTTAAACGAAAAGGAGCTAATTGACGGAACCGAAACTAACCAAAATTAACTTTTCCTGGTAATAATCCTTAAAAAAAAACTGAATTCCCTTCAACGAGAATAGAACCCGGGAAGCGTACTTCAACTGGGCCATACCATGCCATAGCAATCGTAGAAATCGAAGTAATAAGGTGTGTAGCACAACATTTGGCATACGCACTAAACTTCGTCTTTCCATTTCCTGCCACTAGACTCTTTACCTAAACTTATTGCGGCGCAAAATTTTCCTAGCTGACATTTTGTCTACATTTGTCTCTTTTTCAATTTCTCGTAATGAAACTTCTTCATTATTTACATTTTTGTAATTGACATATGCTGAAAACAAAATGGTAATTTAGAAATTCACTCGCCAATAAATAGGCGATTAGTTTACCTAGGACGTTCATTTCGGTTTCGTTGCCAGGTAAAGTGACAGTAGCTGCACGATTTCTAGGCTTATTAAAGGACCCAAATTCTCTCAGGTTCTTTTCCAATACCCCAAAATATCTTCGGTTGGGCATCCTTCTTTCTGGATATAAATTCTCGTACGACTCTAGGGCAACGTTCAGGTTACGCATACTTCTAATATAAACCACGAACATATCAACTTTTTCGTCATTCGTAAACTCCATAATGAAAATTTCTGTACTCTTCTTTATTAACAATTATCATAAAATGACCAATTAATAAAGAAATGCTTTGACAAGTTGTGCAGTTGTCAATTTAATTTTTTTGTTTTTTGACCTTCTTTGACAAAATTTATTTATTATTTATATTCCATATCAGTGTTGCCATTGCCAACCTGAATTTGTGAAATTACAATTAAAATTACTAGTTTCTAAGTAATTATTTTAATTATTATTCATAATTAGATAATTTTGAGTGTTCATACAAATTATTTTGTTAATTTTGTCCTAAATAATAAAGGAAAAAAAGTACTTTTTAGACCGTCTTTGTTACAAATAACGAATTCTGGAGCCGAATTAAGATAAAATTTTGGTAAAAATCACTGATGATCACTTTTTAGAGCAGAAACGTCGGCCAATCATACCTAAGAAGTATATCGTTAAAAAGGGAATAAAGGGCGCTTTCTAAAAATAAAATAAAAAATCCAGGTCCGTATTCAAAAAAATGAAGTTGATGATGGTAGCTCGATCACGAAACGTCGGATTTGAAATTTGAAGATGCCATATTGTAGAGCGAAAAAAATTATAAAACTTTCAAATTTAAATTGTATCTCGAAAATCAATAGTTTTCGAAATAATTCAATAAATATTTTTCGGCGTTTTTCAGAAATCACCCTGTATTTCCTAAACTAAAGCGAATTTGGCAATACTGTAAACAAGTCTTGAATAAGCATTAAAAAAGGCAACTTTTTTCTAATTTAACTGACCTTGTAGCTCTTACCGTTTCGGATATAGCAATAGTGGTATCACTTAAAATATACACCCTGTATAGAAAGAAACATAAATTATTATGTAGAATGTTTGTAGCAGCTAGACAGCTACAAGAAAATTATTAAAA